TGTTCTGCTCGCGCCGGACGTGTTGAATTTCCGCAGAGTCGAAACTTTGCAGTTTTTCGGTAATGAGTGCCAAGTATTCGGCGAGGTTGTCATTTTTTGCTTGATATTCTCCTCGTACCTGTGAGGCGACCAGCTGGGAGTCGGTGTAGATTTTAATTTCTCTGGACCCGAGGTCTGATGCCAGGCGAAGTTCGGCCAGGAACGCTTCGTACTCGGCTTGGTTGTTTGTCGTTGGGAAGGCCAGCGTGAGGGAAACCTCTATGATGGTGTTCTCTTCGTTGTCGAGGATGATGCCTGCTCCACTGCCCGTGGAGTTGGAGGAGCCGTCCACGAAAATAGTCCTTTTGTGGCTCCCCGTGGTAGGGTCTGGTGAGGAGGTCATCTCGGCAACAAAATCGGCCAGGGCTTAGGCTTTGAGGGCTTTCCTGCCTTCGTAGATGATGTCGAACTCAGATAGTTCTAATGACCATTTCAGCATGCGTCCAGCCATGTCGGGTCGGCCGAGGAGCTGTCGGATGGGTTGGTCGGTGCGGAGCACGATGGTGTGTGCTAAGAAGTAATGTCGGAGCCTTCGTGCAGCGGTGATGAGGGCTAGGGCGACTTTTTTGATCAGCTGGTATCGAACTTCGGGACCATGGAGGGCTTTGCTCGTGAAGTAGATTGGGTTTTGCCCCTCTTCGGTTTCTCTGATGAGAACGGCGCTGACGGCCTCGTTAGCTACGGCCAGGTATAAGTATAGGGTTTCGCCCATCACGGGTCGTGTCAGCACCGGTGGTTCGGACAGGACGCGTTTGAGGTGGCGGAGGGCTTGCTCGCATTCCTCTGTCCATTCGAACGTGGTCTCCTTCCTGAGTAGTTTGAAGAAAGGGAGGGTGTATTGTGCAGACTTGGCGATGAACCGGGAAAGTGAGGCGAGCACGCCATTGAGGGATTGGATGGACTTCTTCGTGGTGGGTATGGTGATTTCCGAAAAGGTGTGGCACTTGTCCGGATTTGCCTCGATCCCGCGCTCGGTCAGGTAGTAGCCGAGGAATTTTCCTGCGCGGACATCGAAGGTGCATTTCTCCGGGTTGAAGCGCATTCGGCAGTTCCTCGCTGTGTCGAAGACCATTCTGAGATGGGCCGTGTGGTCGACTTCCGTGTAGGACTTGACGATCATATCGTCCATGTACACTTCGAGCATGTCGCTGATTTCACCCCAGAAGACGTTGTTTATCATCCGTTGGTACGTGGCGCCGGCGTTCTTTAGGCCGAAGGGAATTACGTTGTAGTAATAGTTACCCGACGCCGTCATGAAAGTCGTGCTCTGTTTGTCGTGCTCGGCCATCGGGATCTGGTTGTACCCCGAGTATGCGTCCATGAAGGACAAGAGCTTGAAGCCCGCGGAGTTGTCGACGAGTTTGTCGATGTTGGGGAGAGGGTAGGCGTCTTTAGGACATGCCCGGTTGAGATCGGTATAGTAAACACACATGCGCCATTTTCCATTATTCTTTTTAACGAGTACAACATTGGACAACTAGGTTGAATACTGGGCTTCCGAAATAAAATTTGCCTCTAGGAGGTCTTTTACAGCTTTTTCAGCCGCCGCCGACTTTTCGGGGGACTGTCTACGCCTACGTTGTACTACGGCCTTCGCGGTCGGGCTGATGGACAGCTGATGGTAGGCGACCTCGGGGTCGAGTCCGGGCATTTCTGCGGCGCTCCAGGCGAAGAGGCCGTCGTTCTCGCGGAGACAGACCTGTAGCTATTTCTTCGCTAAGTCTGGGAGTCCGGCTCCGATCTTTACGGTTCTGCTCTTGTCGTCCCCGAGTGTCACGATCTCGAATTCACCGTCTGGGATGGGGCGTGCCGGGTGGGTGGGTTGCCCGTTGGACTAGTTGGCTTCGCTGGTCTTTATTTCATGATCGTGCTCTTCGGTGAAGCGGCTGTCGAGGTCCACGGATCTGACAAGCTCCTTTGGTTCGCTCTTCGGTGTCACGGTTGGGGTTACCTTCTTAGTTGCTGGAGCGATGGTGCTCAAACCTTTCAGCGCGGCCTCGAAGCACCTCCGGGCAGCCTCGATGTCCTCATTCAGGGTCACCACGGCCCCCCGCCTCGTGTAGTACTTCATCTTTAGGTGGACAGTGGAAGGCACCGCGGTGAGTTCTGCCATCATCGTTCTGCCCAGGATACAATTGTAGAGGGACGAGCACTCGATGACTAAGAAACGAATGTTGATCTCCCTGGCCGTTTCCTCTTCCCCGAACGTGACTTTCAGCTCCACGTATCCCTAAGGTCTCTTCGTCTTCCCATTGAACCCCTGGGGGTCGGAGCCTACGTAAGGGGATAGGTTGGATTCGTCGAGTTGGAGGGTCGTGAAGAGGTGGGTGTACATGATGTCCACCGAGCTGCCTCCATCGACGAGGATGCATCTGACATTGAAGTTCGCCACCTGCGCCCGTATCAGCAGGGGAATGTTGGAGTTGGGGGAGCCCCCGGGGAGTTCCTCGAGGTAGAATGTGATCGGGTTGGATTGACCGCGAAATTTTTCGAGCGTGCTCATCTTCTCGGAGTTGCTTGTGATAAGCTCTTCGAATTTTCTTTTCACCGATCCTAAGGACAGGTTCCTCGTGGAGCCTCCAGAGATGACCATGGCTCTAGCAAAGTATTCCCATCGACTGGTGGGCCGTACCGGCTCGACAGGTAGGTCGGGGCCGTCGGGGAGGCCGAACTCTCTATCCGCGAACCAGTCCTCAGGGCGGATGACGCATAGTGCAATCTGGAGTCCATTGTCGCCGTCTGAAGAGATGAGCTCTTCGACTTTCATGGCCTCAGGGGATTCTTGCCTTGGGGCCTTCGCCCCCCCCCCTCCCCGTGTGTATCTCTTTAGGTGGCCGTCCTTAATCAGGATTTCGATCGCGTCCTTGAGATGGATGCAATCTTTCGTCACATGCCCTGGTTCCTGTAGAAACGACAGTATTTCGATTTGTCCATGTTAGGTTTGGGGGGGTGTCGTCCTGGGGAAGCGGACACCTCCCTGGGCGAATTCGGTTTTGGCACACTCGGCCAATATGCGCTCGCGGGAAGCGACTAAGGTCGTGTACTCCGTGAATCGGCCGGCGGGGCCGCGCTGTTCGCGTTATTTGCGTGGGCGATCCTCCCGACGGCGGTCACCTCCACGCCGGTGGCTTGAGGCTCCGTCATCTCGGTGCCCACGGGGGGCCTCCCTGTCTCGAGTGTCTCGGGCGGAGTTGGCTGCTTGGGTTTCCTCGAACCGGATATAATGTGCGGCTCTGTCGAGGAAATCCTGCAGGGAAGCTGGTCGGTGTATGCCCACGGCCTCGTAGAACTTGGAGTCGCGGCGTAGACCCTGCTCCATTAGGTAACGCTTCATCTCGTTTGACGTCGTTACCTGCATTGCCTCCCGTGTGAATCTTTCAATGTACTTTCAGAGAGGCTCGCCGAGGGCTCGGATTATCGCGCTGAGGGCGGCTTCCGTCTTCGGGTGGCGTTGGAATGTTGTGAAGTGTTTTGAAAACAGGTCCTTCAGGACCCTCCACGACGTAATCGATTCGGGCTCCAGACTTTTGTACCATGGCATGGCGCCTTTCCTCAGGGTCGTCGGGAATAGCCTGCACTTGATAGCTCCTCGGACGTTTCGGTAGTCGAGCATGCCCTCAATGTCTTCCAGGTGATCGTCTGGGTCAGAGGTACCGTCATATGTTGAGAGCGTCGGGGGCTTCTCCATCCCGTGGGGGATGGGGGTGGCCATGATTTCCCGGGACAAAGGAGTCATGTAGTCGTCCTCGTCACTGAGAGCGGGCGATCGAGGGGGAGATGGGCCATTTGGTATAGGCACCTGGTTCCGGGTCCTCGGCCTCCTAACCGGGGGTTCGACGCACGGAGGCCTGGTCGGGAGTGCTGCCCCGCTCTGCCGTCTCCCGCGAACTTGTCTCGTCGGGGATCTTGTCCGCTCCCGCACTACTTCCGTTCGGGGCCTCTCCAGCCGAGGTCGTCGACTTCTGGGTTGAGGCGAGGGGCTTCTCGAGTTCCCATTCTGGTCTTCCCGCGGAGGGGACCTATCCTGCTCGTCGGGGACCTGTGCCCGATGTTATGGTCCAATTCGAAATTTCTCGCCACACAGTTTTGGAAATAGCATAATTGAAGAAAAGATGAAGATGATTCTCATAAAAGTCAGAATAGAATGAGCATCCAACCTATTTAGACGATAATATACCTCTCTCCATAGAGGTCCTGAAAAGCTTCAGATAACCTCTCCTCACCAGTCCAAGTTTCCCCCCAAAAAGAAATAGAATTTCCCTTCCCCAACAACTGTTTGCTATTCTCCATAAGAGAGTAGTTCACATGCCTATTCTCCAAGGAGGAATATCCCTCCACCAAATAGGACATGAATTATTACTGCCATTACTAACAGAACCGCTGTTGCCGCCACCAAAAGCATAAATAGAACAATAAAAAATGTCATATCTAACCCTCAATAATTTGATCCACATGGAATCCCCTCTTTATAATAAACGCTATCTCCATTTGAATAATAAGGCAGTGTTAAATTCTTCCACCATTTTGAATCTGAGTCCACCTTCCTTTAACGGCAAATACGAATGTTCCCATCCAACCCAATGAAACTTTCTCCTACCATCTTCATCTCCCCACAGAAAGTTATTTTGAAGCTGCATGATTGATTTGCAAACTTTGATAAGAGCTCTATAGAAAGAAATAGAAAAATAGGAAGGCTGCTCCAAACCGTTTTAATAAAGTGATTCTCCCTCCAAGGCTCAAAACTCTACCTTTCCACTTTGCTAATCACTTTTCCAAACTGTTGAGCAGAAAATTCCACGATGAGATACGTCTAGGATTCATACTGATCAGAATTCCAAGAAAACTTAATTTTCTTCCTTCTAACCTGCAAGAGAGAAAGTTTGCAGCAGCTTCCAAAAAGTTAGAATATAGATTTAGACCAATAAGCTTGCTTTTCATGTAATTAAATCCAAGCCCCGAAATCACTTCGAATCCTCTAAGCACCGATTTGAGAGCCCAAAGGTGTTTCCAACTACTGTCTCCAATAAGAAGAGTAGCATCACAAATTGAAGAATATCCACCAGACATCTGTCATTAACATGAAAGTCGGAGAAATCACCATTGTAAATCGATTTTCTGACTAAACCAATTAAACCTTCCACAACAATGACAAATAAAAAGGGGGAAAGCGGATCTCCTTGTCTAAGACCCTTTCCCACTTTGAACTCCTTAGTCGGGCTTTCGTTCACAAAAACCGACATAAAGCTGGAAAATATCAATGACTCCATCCACTTCAACCAAATATCTCCAAAGCCCATTATTTTCATCATATAAATAATATATATCCAACTAACTTTATCATAAGATTTTTCAAAGTCAACCTTAAAAAGCAAACACCCTCTCTTTTCCTTTTCTGCGAAATCCACGACTTCATTTACCACTAACACTCCTTCAAGTAATTGCCTTCCTGGAACAAATGTTGTTTGGCAAGGAGAAATAATAGAACTTAGAAATATTTTTGATCTAGACGCCAATAACTTTGAAAGAGCTTTGTAAATACAATCGACCAAACAAATTGGATGATGCTCATTCAGACTCATCGGGTTATCAGTCTTCGATATCAGAGTGAGAAAAGATGAATTAAAAACTTCGAAAGAGTTGCCTTCCCATGAAAGTCTCTAAAGCAACGAAAAACATCCTCTTTAATGAACACCCAACATTTTCTTAGGAAAAAAAATTGAATTTGTCTGGCCTCAGGCTCTTAGAACCATCGCAGCTCCAAAAAGTCTCCTTTATTTCATTATCCATAAACACTGCTTCTATTTGCATTCTCTCGTCTTCTGAGATCCTATTGAAGCTGATACCATTAGGGGTAGGCCGATCCTGATCATCTTCGATGAAAGCCTCCGAGAAGTGCTGAAAAACTTCATCTTTTACTTCCTCACTTCGTTCGCCTGGCCATGACTTGTTTGCAAATAACATATGAAGTTCCTCCTCCTTTTGTTACTCAAATGTGTAGTTGAAGTTGAAGCACTTGGAATGAATGGATGTTGAGAAGTGATTGATAAACTACTTGGGTTGAATGAAGTAGAAAAAACAATTGGATTGACAAAACTCTTAGGGGCATTAGAGATGCTCGTGAAACTTGAGCACTCAATATGTTTTGCTGGAAATGAGGACGGGGAAATGTCTGACATGTATTAGACTAAAAATCCGTTTGGGGTATATTTATGTATTTTGTTACAAAGATGCATCTCTTTACTAGTTTTTGAAAAAAATGAAGGTGTGACTCACTTACGAATGAATGTGGTGTGGATATAGTGCGTCTGAAAATGCATCTCCAAATTATAGAAGTGTTTTTTTAATTTTCACAAAGGTGCGTGAGCACTACAAGGGTTCTAAAAGTAAACTCCCTCTTTTATTTGTTATATGTGCATTCCTAAAACAATGAGCAAGCCTATTATTGTTGAAAAAGAATTTATCTTGGCACTCCCCAAATTTAACGTGGCGCCTCAAATTTTCAATAATACCCAAAAAATACCTTTGTTAAAATTTAACCAAAAAAGAGCGCATGAAAAATCTAGTAGTACAATTGAAAAATCTAGTAGTACAATCTTGTAGTGTATTCTAGAAATCCAATATGCATTTTACATGTTTTCTTAAAAACCTGGTGGGTGGAAAAACTTGTTAGGTTTTTCGAAAAATTTGAAAAAAAAATTAGATTTTTCGAAAACTCTGATAGTGTACTTGAAAATTCGATAAAAAATTCGGTAGTGTATTTGAAAATTTTGGTAAGGAGTGGTAATTGTTTTGAAAAATCCGGTGGTATATTTAAAAATTTTGATAAAAACTTATAGTTTATTTGAAAAATCCGGTAAAAACTCATAGATTGTTTGAAAAATATGGTAAAAACTCTTAGATTTTTTGAGAAATTCGATAAAAAATGATTGATTTTTTGAAAAATTCGATAAAACTCTTTTTTTTTAAATGATAAAATCTCGTAGAGTTTTGAAAAATTCGATAGTATATTTAGAAAATCCTATAAAAACTGATAGATTTTTGAAAAATCCGATAGTATATTTGAAAAATTAGGTATTTCTAATCCGATAAAATAATGATTTTACACTGATTTTGTTTTTCTAATATTTGGTAAAAACTCATAGATTGTTTGTGATCTGACCTAATCAGAAGGGGACCAAGGACTTGCCACACGCCGTTGATCTGCTACCTGCTCACCGGTGTTGAAGAGGAGGAGGGGGGTGTACCTGCAAGACACTCCGATGCCAAAATGAGGAATTGGACAGAGTGATAGTAAAGTACAGAAAGAGGGGTAAGAAGTGAATTACCTGACCCTCTTGTGGAAGAGGGTATTTATAGAGAGACCCCAGCGCTGGGCCAACAATCACTTGTGTTGGGCTGGATGGCCAGACCCAACTCAGGCGACTGTTAGGGCTTACGTGGCGTAGTGAAGACCAGGACGTGGTCTTCGCCCTAGTCTAACTGTCTCGTGGTCTCCAGAAAGTGGGTTTGACCTGCTCTTTCGGAGGTGGACAGTTGGCTGGTGACGTGTCCCCGCGGAGGGGGGCACGTGGAGAACGTGCGCAGGGCACGTTGTTTTCCCCGCGGAGGGGAGCTCGCGAGGTTCCCCGAAGGTGTGTCGTTCTCCCCGCGGAGGGGAGTACACGAGGGTGTGGGAGAGACACATTGTCCTGCTCGACGGCATGGGGATTCTGCCCGCGGAGGGGTGTTCTGCCTGACGAGGGGAGAGCGCAGAGGGTGTCTTAAGGCATGTTGTTCTGCTCGGCGGGAGCATGCCCTGCCCGTTGATGGGTCGCGTGCCCGGCCGGCCTACTTAAATCATATTGGGCCTTGGGTGTGTATCATTGGGTTGGGCCGCGAGGTGAGGCCGAAACAGTTTGAAAAATCCAATAAAAATTATAGCTTCCCCAAAAATCCAGTAAAAACTCATGAAATCCCAAAAAATCCAATAAAAAAAATCAAGAAAAAAAACCCAATTTTGTTAAAAACTTAAAGAACCACAAAAAGTATTAAAGAGTATTATGATAAAAACTAGGAATAACAAACCGGCAAATTCAGTTGGAATTTTGTGATCGCTTACCCGTTCAGTCCACCCAACCTTAATCTATTAAAAATGAAAATAAATTTAAAAATATGTAGACAAGCTTGTTGGCCGCTAATCTGTCACCTTGGCGATGCAAGCTAGTTTTTTAAGTTCAATTTTACTTCGCGGACTTGCCCCCCTTCCCCTTTTTTGACAGACTTAAGGCATGGCGGAGCAGGGCGTGCGACCTATTTTGTCACCCTTGATAAAAACACATCACGATCAAAATAAGAGCCACAGGATAAATTTTTTCATTCAAGAGAAATCTTCCTGCCACCCCTTAAATTAAACCTGACACCCCTATATTTTTTCATAATGGTAGAAATATCCTTGTCAAAATTTAATTAAAAAGAGCGAACAAAAAATTTGGTAGTAAAATTCAAAAAAACATTACGTTTTGTAATTTTTTGATTTTTTTTTTATAATATGGTAGTTAATTTTGATAGACAAAAAAAATCTAAAGTTAACACTACTGAATTTTTCGAAAAATTTGGTACAATACTGGGGTTTTCGAAAATATGGTAAAAACTCCTCTCTTTTTTTTTTAAATTCGGTAGTGTATTTGAAAATTCGATAGTGTATTTTGAAAAATTCGACTAAAACTTATAATTTTTTGAAAAATGCAATAGTGTATTTTATAAAAACCGGTAAAAATTCATAATTTTTTTTTAAAAATCTGTAAAAACTCAGATCTTTTGGTAAAAAAACTCATCCTTTTTGAAAAATCGGATTGTGTATTTAAAAAATCCGGTAAAAACTCATCGGATTTTGAAAAATACGGTAGTGTATTTAAAAAATCCGATAGTTGAAATCCGATAAAAACTCATAGGATTTTGAAAAATACGATAGTGTATTTAAAAAATCCAATAGTTTAAATTCGATAAAAACTCATAGGGTTTTAAAAAATATAGTAGTGTATTTAAAAAATCTAATGGTTGAAATCCGATAATCTTTTAAAAATCCATAATTAAAAACTCATAAATTTTTTTTAAAATTCGATAAAAACTAAAAAAAAAATCAAAAATTCAGAAAAATGCACAATTTTTTAAAAACATAAAAAATAAAATAAAAAAATATTATGATAAAAGCATGGGAGTGTAAAGTAGAATTTAAGGGTTGGAAGGAAGATTTCTCCACATTCAAACAAAACTACAATGTAGCCCAAAATAAGAGCCACAAATGGTCCATTATAGATGCTAAAGATATGCAAAGTAAATGGTTATAGATACACGTCTCACTTAAATGTGTAAATATCTTTTAAAATGAATTTGTTAAGAGATATTTTTTACGTTAAAAATAAAATAAAATAATAATATTTCTATACAAATTATTTTTAATCTAAAAGATAATCATCCCAATTAGCCTAATATTTATTTTTTATACATAATTTCTATTTTTATGTACATTAATTTGTTTATTTACTTACTTATATATTTTATATTTATATACTTTATATTTATTTATTTACTTATTCATATATACTTTCTCTTTATATATTTATTTTTTATTTATTTTGTTTTCTTTCATAAAGAGAACAATAAAAAAATTTAAGTTTGTTGTCATGGTAACGTAGATTTATACAAACTTTTACAACCTTATATGAAAAAGGTGATTTTACTATTAAAAAATCACCTTTTTTATTCCTTTATTAAATTTTTTTACTGAGTTTCTTTAACTTTTGTGTATGTGCACTTCAAAATACTGACGTGGCCGAGGGAGGTATCACGTCATTAAATGTGTTTACATGAAAATATTTAAATAAAAAATATATTATTTAATTTTTTAATTATTCAATTTAATCTTTGAAATATTTTTAAATGAAATTAAACTCGAAATTAATTAATATATTATTAATTTAATGAATTGTTATTTTCAAGAATAATTAATTAATTATTAGTTATAAATTGTAAAATTAAAACTGTGTCAAGAAGAGTTCCCTTAACCATTGTTATTTTCATGTATTTGTGTCACCATTACTTTATTTTACTGCATAACTAACATGCATTCACGCATAATGAGTAAAATAAAAATTTTATTATTAATAATAGTAAAACTAAGGACTATTTTACAATTGTTTTGAGTGAAATTTGAACAATATATTTTGAGATTGTAAAGCCAAAATTTAACAGTAAATCGACATACATAGTCAAGTAAATATTGTAAATGGGTCTAGCAAAAGAATAACTTTTTTAAAATTTATATTTTTCTCAAATACAATAATAGATTTACAATCCTATATAAAATAAATTACCAATGTCACCTATTAGCAAAATTATATGTTTTATTTTTATTTTAAAATTTTATAATAATTTTAAAAAATAAAAAAGAAAATATCAATCCATTTATTTTATATCGATATAATAAAATATTAGTATTATTTAGAATAAATATATTTAATATAATTTGACACATATATATTATTTTAAAATTGTTATCATTGTAGTTATTGTTACGGTCTAGTAATTTGGTTGAGAGGATATTTTAAATAAAATTTTCAGCATATGTTAGTTATTAGGCTTTACAATCAAGGACAAACTCTTCAAAATCAAATCATATTATGAAGTTTTAGTTAGAGAAATTTTTACTCACTATTATCAATAATAAATTTTATGATAAAATTTTCATCTCACCTAATAAAAAATCGAGATGTAAATCATAAATGCCTGATATTTTTTTTAAAACATCCTATCTATTCTCTTGGTTGAGCTGACAACCGAGGAATAAAGTATTTAGAGGACACACCTTCAAATTCCAACAACTATATTTTAACACATTTTTTTATATGACCTATTATCTCAGTTGAGTTGAAAAACAAAGGGTAAAGTATTTAGAGGACACGCCTTCGAATACCAACAAGTAC